ACATTTTGAAAATATACAGCACGTAATAGTCATACATATAATACTACTAGAATATTTTGATAGAAAAAAATATAGAAACAACAATTCCTTATACTTAATATAAGTTAGAGGAACTTAAGATCGCATATCTTTTGACGGTTACTATAATATATTTGTCACTTCCTTCATTAAATATTCGGAATCTTTAAAAGTCATAAGCTTCTAGTACCGAACAGTTTTGCTCTATACAGCCATCTGCTCTGCATATTTATAATCACAGTAACTGCTTATACCATCACTCTGTTAGCACTATCTTGTCAGAAGATTCAACAAAGATACTGTCAACGTTCAAGAGATACAATCTAAACAGTCGGCAATTACAGACTGCGAAGGCGTGTTTGTCGCGAGCTCGTTGCGACACGATGATGAAGTCATCCACCGATTGCAAATAAGGGATTACACTCGCTTCTCCTACTTTCAATTATCTAACACCTCATATACCTTTCCGTTAGTATGCTCACATAATGACAACGTTCATAAAATATAATAATACAAAATAATAGCTACTTATCATTAATACGTCAAAAATGTAACCGGATACACACAATTAAATTTATCTTTCCATTTAATTCTGTACAATAATCACAAAATTAACACACATTATTGTTTCCGTCATGTTTGTTCAAAAGATAATTTTTTTATTATTAAAGATTTGGTAATGTATTCTAAAATATTTTCGCGTTTATGCAAATTGAAATTCATTGACTATTCAATACGTTAACAAGAATGAAAGATAAAACCGAGGATAAAACATATGTATCTTTTACTGTGCTAACGCATTGTAATAATATATTGAAAAATACACAAAAGATAAGTAACAGAAGCGAGAAATAAGGTGTCCGTGCAAAACGTGACTGCTCGATGTTTATTTACCATTTCCTTTCTGCGAAGCCTCATTTACGATGAAAACGTTATAATCACCTAATCTGAGTAAGTGAACGCATCGTAAACTGAAGTCTAACATTTCTCCCCTATCTATTGGTCTGAGTCTTTCCTTCCGTGAAATTTATCGGTCGGGTGTGTCTCATTAAACGTTGACCGAAATGAAATACTATTCGTCGATCGATCAAACGCGTACGAAAGACAACGTAGAACTATGTTAAAATAACAGAACGAAGAAAAAACAACTAGAAAACGATAAAAATACACAACACAAACGATAAACATACTATCGACGTAAAAAAAATAAAAACAATAGAATATAAATTGCAAAGATAAATGTAAATATATTATGTATCTAATATTATAATTTAAAACAATATGTTAATTATGTAGTAACAAATAGAAACGTCAATGCATAT